GTAACTATCCGAAATAAAGCTCATGCCAATGGCCTAAGTGGTCACCTTTAACATTAAAAAAAAAAAAAAAAAAAAAATTATATACTACTTAAAAAGCAATATTCATATATCTCTATTATAAAGCTTTGCTTTACTACTAAATTTTTTTTCATCTTAGCAAACCAACTTTGAAAATTTCTAGCTAATCCAATCCTAGTTTATAATATGAGATTAACTCAAAATAATAGCTTTATGCTTATTTAAACCAAAAACATGATTGCTATCTACTATATTGTCTAAATTTAAAAACTATAAACAATACAAATTCTTTGATAGAGATAAGCTATTTTGTCTACTTTTTAAAAATTTTTTGTTACTAAGATAAGTAGATAATAGAGACCAAAAGAATAAGAAAAAGTTTACTAAAAGAATAAGTATAAAAGTTATGCTATATAAAGTATTGTATTTTATCAAGCATCTACTTTTATTTCATATCACTTAATAAAGCTCTAGAGTTGCTTTATTACTTTTTTGCTTGATAATACTATAGCTTGCCAAGGTGCCTCACTTAACTATTTGCTATTAATCATTTTCAACTCTATTTTAGTAAACAGAATACTCAGTAAATAGACTTTGTACCCAAAAGCAGCTAAGTAAAGTTTTGTTTATATAAATACAATATGTATAAGGTTTTTATAATTTAGTTTTTCTGTAAAATTTTGATACAAAGAATCATTGAAAAGAGTTGAGTTAGATAGATACATTTTATAATAATTGTTTTTTTTATATATAATATAGAGCTAATATATGATCTAATTTTAGTTTTTGTAAGATTCTGAACATTTTTACTTAGAATACCCAATTCTGTTTATTTAGTATACAGTATTTTTAAGAAATAATAACCTAACATTTTAGTAAAAATATATTACTATAATATAAATATACTATAGTATATAATAGTAATTAAAAATATTTTAGTAGAAATCAAACTTTATATTTTTGTTACAAGTTGCTTAAAAGTAACAACTTTATTACTATACTAAGTTACCACATCTCTTATATAATTACTGTAATTATACATAGTTAGCTAATTTTATATAATTAATAATTAGCTAAATTTTTAAACTATTATAAACTTTAAACTACAACTTTTTATAATTAAAATAAAGTAAAATCTTTTTAACCAAATTGTAGCTTAAAATTACAAATAAAATTGGTTAAAAATGTTAAAAATATTTTTAAATTATAATATAATTGTTTTTTTTGTAATTATATATATATTTATATAAAAGTGCTAGTTTATCTTGCACTGTATTCGATACTATATAATTAACGTACAGTATATTGTATTTTTAAATATACTGTTTACAGTTTAACTATCCCGATTTTGGCATTTTCCAGTTTATATATAAGTAAAGATTTAAATTCTAATAATGGCAATGTAATACAAATAAGCGTTGTCAAGCTAAAACCTGTAACTGAATAATTAAGTTTTCACTATACCGGACTTAATCTCGGAGGATCTTTTGGTAACATCTTATATGTCAATTCTTTTACGTATAACTGATAATGTATATAATGTATGCAGTATTTTATCTATCATTATGTTATTGTGCCCCCGAAATGATAAATTAAGTAATGGAACAGTAAAGCCCGGTACAGTGAAAACCTGAACTTTCACTTAAAGGTTTAGTTTGATGACAAATAATCTTCTAGCATGGCATTTTACACAGCGATGCTTCATAAATTATTATTATTATTTTTTTTTTGCATAGTAATATAAACCAATCAGATTAAAAATCAAAAATGCTGTCAAATGCATTTGATCGATAGATGCTTGTTTAAGTTCACCATGTGAAAATCTATCCCTGCATATAAAAGAATTCTACATTCTCGGTTTCTTTTTTTCTTCTTTCTGTTGCCTTAAAGGCATTTCTGCTTTTCTTGTTGATGTTTCCATCCAAGGAAAGTACTTTTATACATACGCATATCCCTTTCGCCCGACTTCCTTCTAAATAGGGGCCTGTCCCCTTCATAAAAAAAAAAGTTCCGTTCTTTTTCGTCGACAAAAAACATTTACGGTATGAACTATTACTGTGTTAGTGCATAGACATGATTTCCAGAAAGTATAAGGCTGTACATATCGTATTAACATATAAAACTTTTGTATTTCACCTGCTTTTCTTTTATTTATTTTTGTTGATATGTTACCATGGATAACAATGCATCCTTACTTCTTTTGTTGTTCTTAACAAACTTTCTTTCACTTAAGTAAGAGATAATCGAAAAAACACCTTTGTATTTCTCTTCACAATATTATTTAGGACTCAATTTTCGATAAACATTGTAAAATAAAATAAAAAAGAAACCATCAAAATGTCAAAATTTTTAAAAAACTTGATAACAAACAAAAATACTTTACAGAAAAGTATCACGTTATCGAATGTTTACCAAGATAACGATGAAATTAATTATGCTACTGAAACAGAAGGCTCAGTAGAAGGTCCTTCTGTTTATGGTGCATTTCCTGTAGACTCATCATATTCGTCCGATAATAGTTCTATAGAAACTGTTAAAGACATCCAGCTCGTATTTGAGGGTGAAAATAAAGATACATTTGTTCTCGTTCCTGGTTTATTATCCTATGATACAATCGAGTTACCATATTTCGGTGGAATTCTTGTTGCTGACTATTGGAGAGATGTAAAGGAGCAGATTGATGATCCTTACATAACTAATCCTAATCCCTTTGGAGTAAGTGTACTCATTTTCTACATTCACTTTGGAATTCATGAAATAATATATTAATTTCTCTATTATTTACTATTACAACTATTACTATTGCTATTATTATTACTATGACTATTGCTGTTACTATTATTATTACTATGACTATGACTATTACTATTACTATTATTATCATGATT